ACATACTAGGTTGCAGATTGGACACCCAGTCGGAGGTGCATATGAAAGGCAACTGATCAATGTTTCTATCACATCAATGATTTTTTTTCTCTTTCCTTTCTAAAATAAATTAAAAAACAAAAAAGAAATAAAACACTGTCTGGCATGGTTCAGTGGTTGAGCATCGATCTCTGAACCAGGAGGCTCGGTTCCCTTTCTGGTCAGGGCATATGTCTGTATCCTGCTACTTTACTGAGTTTCTTTATCAGTTCTAGTAATTTTTTGGTGGAACTATTAGTGTTCTCTCTATATTCACTGTCATGTCATTGCAAATAATGACAATTTTACTTCTTCTTTGCAAGTAAGATCATAAAATCATATGATTTTTATCTTTAGGCCTGTGGGATCAGGCCTAAACCGGCAGTCAGACATTCTTCTCAAAATCTGGGACTACTGATTCCTAACTGTTCACTTGCCTGCCTGCCTGCCTGCCTGCCTGATCACCCCTAACTTTCCCCCTCTGCCTGCCTGGTCTCCCCCAACTGTCCCCTCCCTACCAGCCTGGTCGCCCCTCACTGTCCCCCTCTGCCAGACTGGTTGCCTCTTACTGCCCCCCACTGCTGGCCTGGTCACCCCACACAGTCTGTTGTTTGGTTGTTTGATCGCCCCTCACTGCCCACTCCCTTTCCCCACCCCTGCTGGCCTGGTCTCCACATGGTACCTGCTGCTCACTAATGCCCCTTCTGGCCTGGTTGCCCCATGCAGCCTGTTCAGTCATCTGTTCAGTTGTTTTGGTTGTGAAGGTCACATAGGCTTTTATATATATAGATGGGTGATAGGTTTTGTCAAATGCTTTTTCTATAACTATTGATAAAATCATGTGATTTTTATCTTTCATTTTGTTTGTGTGATTTATTATATTAACCGATTTGTGTATATTGTAGCAACTTTGTGTCCCAGGAACAAATCCCATTGATTGTGGTTATGACCTTCTTAATGTATTGTTGGATTCAGTTTGCTAATATTTTGTTGAGGATTTTAGCATCTATGTCCATAAGGTATACTGGCCTCTAATTTTCTTTCTTTGTCATGTTTTTTTCTGGTTTTACAATTAGGATAATGCTGGCCTCATAAAAAGAGCTTGGGAGTCTTTTCTGCTCTTGAATTTTCTGGAATATAGGACTTTTTGATTACTGTTTCAATTTCATTGGTTGTAATCAGTCAGTTCAGATTTTATGGTTCTTTTGGATTTAGTTTTGGAAGATTGTATAATTGTAGGAATTTATCCATTTCTTCCCAATTGTCCAACTTGTTGGCCTATAGTTGCTCTTAATATTCCAAAAAATAATTCTTTGTATTTATGCGTTGTCAGTTGTTACTTTTCTTTTATTTGTGACTTCATTCTAACTTTTTATTCTTCATGAGTCTGGTTATAGATTTGTCACTCTTGTTTATCTTTTCAAAGAATCAGATCTCGGTTTTATTGATTTCACTGTATTTTTCAAGACTCTATTTCATTTTTTCCACTCCGATCTTTATTGTCTACTTACTTAGGGCTTTGTTTATTGTTCTTTCTCTAGTTCCTTTAGGTGTAAGTTTAGATGGTATATTTGAAATTTTTCTTGCTTCTTGAGGTTGGCCTATATTGCTGTGAATTTCCCTCTTAGGACTGCTTCTGCTGTGTCCCATAGATTTTATGTTGTTGTGTTCTTATTTTACTTTTTCTCAAGGTCAACTACTATGTAACATATTAAATGTTCATGTTTTCATTTAATCATCATACCACTGGTGGGCTCATCCAGCGGACCTCAATCTGGGCTGGCCATTGCATTGATCTCGAGCATTTTCTAGCAGGTTCTCTGTGGCTGATGTTGCTCAGTGGCTCATGCACTGAAGGTTGTGGATTTGATGTCCACTCAGGGGCATGTACTGGGTTGTAGGTTCCCTCCCCAGCCACAGTCAGGGCAAGTAAGGGAGGCAACCAATCAATGTGTCTCTCTCACATTGATTTTTTTCTCTCTTTCTCTCTTTACCTTTCCCTCCCTCCCTTGCTTCCTTCCACTCTCTAAAAAACAATGAAGAAAAAAAAATAGTGTTTTGCTCAGTGGATAGAGCGTTGGCCTGGGGACTGAAGGGTCCTGGATTCAATTCCAGTCAGGAGGCATGTGTGGCCTGGGGACTGAAAGGTCCTGGGTTCGATTCCAGTCAGGGGGCATGTGCCTTGGTTGCGGTCACATCCCCAGAAAGTGGTGTGCGGGAAGCAGCTGATCGATGTTTCTTTCTCATCGATGTTTCTAACTCTCTTTCATCTCCCTTCATCTCTGTAAAAAAATTAATAAAATATATATTTTTTTAAAAAATAGAGTTTAAGATGATTCTAAAGAAAAACTAAGGGAAGCAAGGATCATCTATGGATTGTTTTTACAGTATGTGAGAGGAAAAAAGCAGGACTGGGGAAGTCCTGGTAAGAAAACAACAGTAAAAAAATAAACTTAAAATCCATGTAAATATTCACACTAGCCAAAGGGTAGATGCAACCCAAGTATCCATCAACTGATGAATGGATACATAAGATGTGGTATTTGTATATATCCATTGAATTATTATTCAGCCTTGAAAAAAAGGAAATTCTGACATATGCTACAACTTGGACGAATTTGAGGACATATGATAAGTAAAACAAGCCAGACCCAAAAGGACCAATACTGTATGATTTCAGATATATAAGGTTCCTTGTGTAGTTAAATTATAGAGATAAATAGAATGTTGGTGAACAGCAACTGGGCAGAAATGGGGAGTTAGTATTTAATGGATATAAAGTTTCAATTTGGGAAGATAAAATTCTGAAGATGGATAGGGGTGATAGTTGCACAACAATCAGAATGTACCTAATGCCACTAAACTGCACACTTTAAAATGGTTAAAATGGGAAATTTTATGTTATGTATATTTTGCCACAATTAAAAAAAGCTGTAAAAAAAAAAAAAGATCTAGAGATCTCTTATTATAAGGGAGGGTTTGTGTGGACTTGGCCATGACTTGTTAGAAACATTGTCATAGATTCTGATAGGAAGGTTATAGCCTGACTACCAGCAGTGTTGAGACACTGACTCAGAGCTTTGTTTCCCTAGAAAATACAAAGTTAAGATAAATGAATGCTGGCTGAAGACTTTCTATCTGAATCTCTGCCCCTGGGTTAGAAATAGAAGCAGCTTCTCTGTGTCAAAGTGACCTAAATGCTCAGCTTCTTTCAATAAGAGGTGTTCTATTCTCACCGAAATAACATCAAATAGCAGTTTCTCATTGTCTACTATTTTAAAGAGCAAGATTTCTTGGTCCTAAACACTTGGTGATAATTAACAAAAGCAGTTTTTATGGTTTCACAACAGGTTTGAAAAAAACAGTCTCTTAGAGTGGTGAAGCTTTGAGATAAATTGTATTAAGGAAAAGAGAAAGAAGTGATTGAGTCCACTGTGGGACAAGGCTGCTTTCAGATTCTAGGGCTCCGTTTTCTTGAGATTGTCCTCTCTCTTATTTTCATGGTTTTGATTTGTTAATTTGATGCATACATTGCTCTGCTTTGGGACATTAATATTGAAGATTACTAATCTAATGATATTACACATAAAACCCAGTAAAGTGTAAATCATACATTATAATGCCATTCACCTAAAAGTAGGCTACAAACGGGAAAAAAGCTATAGCAAAATAATATGACTCATCAGGCAATGCGGTTACAACTATCCACAATCTGCTTAATGAAAGTCTTCATAGGTATGTGTATAATCCATGCACACAGTTTGATGACTCTTCAGAGTTTCCAAGAGCCTGGCTGATGGTGGGTTGGGTACAACAAAGGAATTAAAGGTGAAATCCATTCTATTGTTACAGTCTTGTAAGGCAATAACATTTCTCTCTCACAATGCCAGCTCATCATGTAGGGCCCACTATGCGAAGGGTCACAAGCTCTGTAATTAGTGGCAAAACGACTTTCAGGAAAATGTAGAGAGGATATAATTCCAGTTGCACTCCGCACAGAAATTTGCTACTAGAGTCTTGAAAGTTCCTGTTGGTAGCCATCTTTAGCTGCGGAAATGATGGAGTAAATATAGTTTCATTTAAACCGAAGCAACTCTGGCCTGGTAGCTTAGTTGGTTAGAGCATCCTCCCAATAAACCAATGCTGCTGGTTCCACGATGAGCCTGGAGCCTGGCATCTCTCTCTCTCTCTCTCTCTCTCTCTCTCTCTCACACACACACACACACACACACACACACACACACACACACACCCCAAAAAAAGCAAAGCAGATTACAGAGCGAATTTAGCAGTTTTTAGTTCATTTTCACTTAATTTGCCGCCTGGATTCGTCATACAGTGTCTAGATTTAACTTTGAGAACTTGTAAGGGTGGAGGAGTAATCATTACCAGAGATACCTAACAGCTGAACGAAACCAACATCCCTCTGGAAGAAATATAGAATAACTTTTTGCCAATGAAAGCAAGGGACTTCCACAACTAATACGTATCAAATGAGAAAAATACCCAGTGTGTGTAGTGGAGGGGCAGGTAAGTAAAAAGAGGGGCGGGGGAGGGGGAGCGAGCATAAAATCAAAGATATATTTGACCCTCTTAACCTAAAAAATAGATAACCAGGTCACTTTTGACCAAACAACCTAAGGAGGTTCTTGGACAACTAGGCAGTTGACAACTAACCCAAACTCAGGAAATGACTCTCTGAAACGAGTAAACTTAGTTCTGGAAAACAAGCGCGTGTCCAATAACATCTGAAAACACGTGGCGGGGGTGGAGAAACCGGTCCGCAATAACCGGCGAGACTCTAAGTCCCATCATCCCGTTCGGCAGTTGAGCCAGGCTGGTCCAGGGAGAGCCGGCGCACTGCACGCTGGGACTTGTGGTCTTGGCCCCTGCGCCTCCCCACGGGGTTTGCGACGTTTGGCGACTACCGCGCCTGCGCCGGCGCCAGCTGGGGCCGGGGCAGCGGCTGCGCGAGCCGGGGGATGCTAGGCGGCTCCCTGCGCGCCCGGCTGTTGCGAGGTGTGGGCGGCAGCCGCGGGCCGTTCGGGGCGCGGGGTGTCCGCGAAGGTGGCGCAGCCATGGCGGCGGGGGAGAGCATGGCCCAGCGGATGGTCTGGGTGGACCTGGAGGTGAGTGAGGTGGGTGGGGGGTGAGGGCAGGTTTCGGGGGAGCCTGTCCGGGGACAGCGGCGGGGTCTGGGGCTCGGACGTGGCAGGTGAGTGCCTCCCGGGAGTGGGCGGCGCGGGGCAAGTCGGGGGGGGGGGCAGGAGTTCTGCGGGTGTTGGGGTGTTGGGAACTCTGCTGGACTCTGGGGTTTCTTTTCAGAAGGGAGGAGTCCTCCATATGGCTGCCCCCTGAACCCCCCTCCTCCTCCCCTCCCCCCCCAACTCGCCAACTCTGGTCGCTTGGAGCTTTGGGTGGAGGTCGGGGTGGGGTGGGGGCAGCGGCTCCGCTCGCCCCACCTCCCCAGCCTTGCGGGACCCCGGTGGTTGGAGCCGGGACCCCGGTGGTTGGAGCCGGACGGGACTCCGGAGATGACTCAGCCTTAGCCTTCCTTCCACAAACCAGGAAACTGAGGCCCAGCGGGAGGAGTCCGCTCACCCCAGCGGGCTGTGTGCGGATCTGAGCTGGGAGTAGATCCCGCTTGTGTTCCTCTGAGGCTTTCCACCCTCCTGCCAAGAACATCCCCTTCCTTGAAGCCAGAGTTTTCTCAGATGAGGATAATAACAGTACTTTTTCTACATTTGATTGCGGCGAAGATCAGGTGGTGTAATCAGAGTGAAAACTTTGTAAACTCCGCAGAGACTGGAGCGATGTTAGTTCTCTAACTCTGCCAAAATGGAACGCTGTCAGCACCCAGTTTTGCTTATTTTGCATCTGTCCTAGAGGAGAACCAGGTTGCCTGACGTGTAGCGGGTTTTTGATAAATGTGGTTGAATAGACGACTGATGTTTAATGCTTTGAGGGATTGCCGAGAGAGCGTTATTCTCTCTTCCATCTTGGCTGTGGGATAGGAATTGAATTTGCTTGAGGGAATTCCTGTTAAATAAACTTGGGTAAACTAGTCCTGAAAGATGGTTTTGTGTGGGTGATTTATAATATCTATATGTTTTTTATTACAGATGACAGGATTGGACATTGAGAAGGATCAGATTATTGAGATGGCCTGTCTGATAACCGACTCTGATCTCAACATTTTGGCTGAAGTACGCAATGCCCTCTTATTCCTGCATACTGTTTAGAGTATATTGGAGACCCAAAGATTGTTTCTCCCTGTCTCTTTATTTAAAAACTAAGGTTAAGGTACAGAGTAATGTGCTAGGTCACGCATGATAAGGTTGGTACTAGAACCAGAGTAATTCATCTCACAGCCTATTATTTTTCAATAAGCCATGCCTCAAACTACAGAAACATAAATGTTGTCATTTTCTGAGCACTTACTTTGTGCCAGGCACAACTCTAAGTGCTTTACATGGATTCACTCGTAATCGAAAGAATGATTATAAGGTAGGTACTGTTATACTCATTTTATAGAGGAGGACAGGTTGGCACAGAGATGTTGGGTAATTTGCCCAAGGCCACCAGGCTAGTTATTGCAGGAGCCAGAGGGTTTAACCCAGGCAGTATGAATAACATGCCCCTAACCAGTAAGACAACCAGCTATACAGTGCCCCCGGGAGTGGTGACTCACGTCAAAGCTGACGATCTTTCTATCATAACTTTAAATTTAACTTGACTCCATATATCCAGGTTTTGCCTTTTCAACTGGACATGTGATTTTTCTAGATCTGTATTGAGATTTTAGAGAAAATCTGTTGGTGCGGAATCATAAAACATTCTCTTGTTAACATTGGACGTGATTAAAGTTTTAACATGATGCCTTTAACCGAAACATTAAACAAAACAAATAAAACACACTTGTTGCCTTTTGGGCACTCATGAAACATTTAATTAAGTGTGTGGCAGCACCTGATTGGGAGAGGGTGAAATCCCTGGCGTTGAATAACTCTGTTTCAAGTTGTCAGCAATAATCAGAGGCACTGAGAGACTAGAATAGAAACACAGTAGGTCTGTTTGAGGGAAAGAGAGTCTTACTAAAATAAGTTCCCAGAGGGTAGGATTGATGTGTTACTGGCACTGGATAAGTTTAATAAATCTATCGTTACCGCTTATTTTCCTGGGTGGTAAGAGGGGAGAAGGCATCTATAGAGGAATTGCTACTTTTGTGGAGCAACAGGCATCCATCCTGGAGAACCTCCTGAGAGATGAGCTTCGGGAGAGTCATTAGACTGACCTTTTCTTGTAACAACTAGCTTAAAAAAACTTTAAATAAATAAGTAGCGTAATGTCAATAAATAAACAAACCCCTGAGTTTTAGGTTTGGTTGTTTTACCCTGCCACTTGGCCTTTACTAGAGATGAATAGTGAAGAGAAGTGCCTGTACTTACCAGCCCTGCTTACTCTTGGCTGAAGAAGAGATTTTCCCGTGGGCTGTTGATATAATGTGAAATCCTGACAGTTTAATGGACCAGCTAGTGGACATGTACCCCGGAGGAAATTTGGGTCTATTCCCCAGCTGCAGATGAGTGCGACATTTGTAAATAGACTCAGTCAGATGAGGATAAGGTTGTTAAAAAAAGAAAATGCTTAGGGGCTGTTGGCAGTAGAGGGTCAGTTCTGTGGAAAATAAATCTTACTTTTGTATGTGAGTTTGAGAGAAAATGTCTTATGCTGGTAGAAGAACAAATATCCTGCTTGGGAAATTTTTCTGTGGGTGACTTACTGGGGTCTAGACTAAGTTAGCCTTAGATTGATAGTAGTTTTTTCCATCAAGTTGATTAGAGCTTTTTTAGAATATGAGGGTTTTTTTTAGTTTTTTTTTTTTAATATGGTATCAGAGCACATTTTTTGCTTCTTCATGGAGTTTGCCATTACCAGTATTCTTATTTGGTTAAAACTCCTTGTTAGTTGTAGGATGTTATGCATATTTTAGTCAAATTTTAGCCATTCCTTTCAGCGACTGCAAACTATTTTACCACCTTAGTATTAATAGTAATAATACCTTGGATTTATAGTACTTTTCTTTTGGAGAGTTCAAAGAACTTTCAGACCTATAAGTTCTTTTATCTTGTTAACATCCCTTTGAGGAAAGGGGGCCGTTTATATCTCCATTGTCCAGAAGGAGAAACCCAGACTACGTGACTTGCTGTGATGACTTAAGTTGGGCTGTTCTGCTGGGCCTCATCCAAGACACTTGCAGTTGCTGCTCTCTTACATGGACTGAGAACTCCAAGGCACTTTCGTTTTTCAGTTGTCAACAATTACCTTTTAAAAATGAAAATATAGTTAAAATTAAACTATAACTTTATCATAAATGTATTAAGATACTGGTTTTTCTTTTTATTTCTTTTAAAATCTTTATTGTTGAAAGTATTACATAGGAAGGTATTGGTTTTTCATCCTGTTCTTCTGGTCTATAATATTCCCCAAAGGTTATGTACTTTCTTGGTATTTTGTATGCATATATATAGTATTTATACATATATGTACATATATATGTATATATATACACACATATATATAATGTATTTTTAAACAACCACATATATACACATACATATGTGTGTTTTTTTTAAATAACAGCAAGTGAATCATATGCATGTATATACTGTTGTGTAATTTTCTTTTTTTAGCTAGCAATATAGATACTTGAAAATGAACTCATAATCAGGGGTCGGCAAGCTTTTTAAAAAAGACCAAATATTAAGTGTTTTAGGCTTACAGTGCCATATACCTCACTATTACCTGTTTGGTTGTTTGTTTTATAACTATTTACCGATGTAAAAAGCATTCTTAGCTTTCTGGCAATAAAGCAAAAATGTCACAGGCTGGGCTATAGTTTGTTGACTTGATAGGTAGCTAGTTCTTCTCAATAAGCAGTTACTTCAGGTGTGTGTGTGTGTGTGTGTGTGTGTGTGTGTGTTTTCGTTCATCGATTCTATTTTGCCATTATAAACAGTACTAGAATGAATGAGGGCCACTTTAGATTTGAATACCCTCATCTCTTACATTCTCTGCTATATGTATTTAATCCTTAAAATAGTATAAACTTTACCTCAGAAACCAAGGTTATCCCTGTTGATTCTGGATGATAATGGCTTTTCCATCCACAGGGTCCTAACCTGATTATAAAGCAGCCAGATGAGTTGCTGGACAGCATGTCAGATTGGTGCAAGGAGCATCACGGGAAGGTAACACTATCAAATAACAGGATTCCTGCCCTGGGGATCAGTAACGGCATCTGAATCCGATGCCATTGTTGGATGGTATTGTAAAGCGGGTTAGCGGAAGATGCTTGGCGAGCCTGGGAAGCTGCTTTTTTGTTTACTTTGCACCTCTGGGACCTCGGGATCATCTCTCCTCAGGTCCTCTTTTCCTCTCCTGCATTCAGTCTGTCGCCACCACATTGTGGATTGCCAAATATTGCTCAGATCAGTCTTTGGATAAGGTTAGACGTCAACTTTCAGACAAGGGGGAATGCTGCTCTCCTGTTAATAGTTGTTCTTCCCAGAGATTATGTCCTTGGACTTCAAGTAGCACCTTTTTTGACTCTGTGGAAATGCTATTAACTATCGGGAACATAGCTTGACTTGGATTCTTAAGAAGAAAAACTGTGCAAAGATAACAGTTTCAGTTTAAACTTGGGCTCTATAAATGGTCTAAATATTTGCTCCTTTTAGAAGTGAAGTTTCATTTGGATGCCTTTGAAAACGTCTTGATTGTTTCTGGTGGGGCGGGGATTCTCTCTTGCAGTCTGGTCTAACCAAGGCAGTGAAGGAGAGTACAGTGACATTGCAGCAGGCAGAGTATGAGTTTCTGTCCTTTGTGCGACAGCAGACTCCTCCGGGGCTCTGTCCACTTGCAGGTAAAGTTCAATCCTATGTGTGCCTTGTAAGGAGTCTTCCATTCTAGGGTTCAAGAGACTGCAGTTCCAGAAAGATATTCTGCTTACCCTGATTTGAATTATACATCTTACTTTTGTGTTTAAGTGTCCTGGTATAATTTATACATGAATACCGGGAACATGCCCTGAAGAGATCTGAGGTGTTCAGACTAACTCAATAAACATTTCCCCCATATTTTTTGGAGAATTTTCAAATGTTTAAAAAAGTTGGATTTAGTAATTGTTAACCTTATGCCATGTTTGCATTACCTATATATATTTTTAAATATATTTTTCAAAATACATTTTAAAATATATTTACTGGTGTTGATTTGAGAGGAAGGGAGAGGGAGGGAGAGACAGAAGCATCAATGGTGAGAGAGAATCTTGATGTGCCTTCTCCTGCACACCCCATACTAGGGATTGAGCTGGCAACCTGGGCATGGGTCCCTGACTGCTTGACTGGAATTGAACCTGGACCCTTAAGTTCGTAGGCTGACGCTCTGTTCACTGAACCAAACCTGTCTATTTTTTATTTAGTTATTTTTGACATTTAAAAGTAAATTGCAGGCACCATGATACTCTCTTTCTCCTAGTAAATACTTCTTCAAACATTTCCTGTTAGGACATTTTCTTTTGTAACCACAATAGCATTATCACATTAAGATAATTAAAATTATTCAGTAACAGTTGCTATCTAGTCCATAACCAAAATGTCTAATTGTTTTTGAACCAGGATTTAATTAAGGCTCATGCATTTCATTTAGTTATTATGTCTCTTCTCTTAATCTAAAATGTCCACCTTTGTTTTTTTTCCTTGTGACACTGACTTTTTAAAGAAACAGCTAATTCTAGGTTTTTGAAAGCAATGCCTTGTCAGGGAAGTTAATGTTTTATGGAGATGTATTTCAATTTGTATATGTAAAGTGATACAGTAACTAACATTTTTCTTAAACATTTATAAAGTTTTGATATTAAGTACTAGAGCATATATTATATAAATTTTTCCTCTTGCCAATGGAACTGATGTCTGTTTTACAGTTCTCATTTAAAATTTAGTGTTTTTAATATAAATTACTGTATGGAAACATAAATGATATGGTTTGTTAAAATTGGAATGTAAATAAATGTTTCAACTTCTGTGATTCATTAAAAGTTAAATTTTTAGTGTTAGCGGTGTGGATTTTGTGACATTGGGAGAAAATTTGCACATCTGGTTGATATAAAAAAGTAACAGACTTACGCATTGTTTTAAGTATGTGGAATGATAGATTTATCCTTTTGTCTAAAAATTTATTTGTAGTTAGACAATCTAAATGCTAAGAATCTGCACTTATAACCTAATCAGACACATCAAATATGAGCTGCTTTTGGGATGTGTATGAATTAAAAAAAATTATCTTCATTTCAAATATAGTTTATGAATTTTTATATCCTGTTGTATGCTACTAGAAATACATAGATGCGGTATACTTCGTGTCTTTCTAGGAAATTCAGTTCATGCAGATAAGAAGTTTCTTGACAAATACATGCCCCAGTTCATGAAACATCTTCATTATAGAATAATTGATGTGAGCACTGTTAAGGAACTGTGCAGGTAAGGGCTATTGAGGAACCATTAAATTGCCTTATTTAGCATGTTTTTGTTTTTTTTCCTAAGGGTTTATCTTTTAAAAAAAATGTTTTTATTGATTTCAGAGAGGAAGGGGGAGATAAAAACATCAATGATGAGAGAGAATCATTGATTGGCTGCTTCCTGCACACTCCTTACTGGGGATCGAACCTGAAACCTGGACACGTTCTCTGACTGGGAATTGAACCATGACCTCCAGGTTCATGGGTCAGTGCTCAACCACTGAGCTACACACTCTGGCCTCATTTAGCATGTTTAATTGAGAACTTGTGGAAAGTAATTGAATAGAGCTGTAGAACTTGGGATGCAAAGTGGACATTTAACTTCCTCAACCCATCGTCACTTGGATCAGGACCTTAATTTATTCAATGCTGGTGAGAATTGGGTAAACAATGTAAAAAATCTTCCATGTAAATTTCATTAATTCAGAAAATTGACTATCCATTCTGTGCCACGTGTTGGCTTATGTGCTGGGAATATATATATAGAGAGATGAAAATCCCTTAAGTAGCTTAGAATTTAATGAGTTGACAGATGTGTAAAAAACACATCCTAAAAATATACCGTTGGTGACTTCTCTAACGGAAATGTGCATACAGAACATTGAAGGCCCCAGGGAAGGAGCGTCTAAGTGCTGGAGTGAGGGGGCTGGGAAAGGGAGAGGAAATGGCTTTCAAGTTGAGATTTAAAGAAGAGTATAAATTTTCCAGGTATCAAGGAAGGGGACATTCTAGAGAATGGGAAGAGGTACCAGTATAAAGATATGAGGAAGCAGGAAGATGAGGACAAATCAAAGAATTGCAAATAGTTCATGAATGCTGGAGTGCAAAGCATGAGGTTAGGAAAAGAGATGAGGTCCAATTAGGAAGGGCTTATATGTCATCCTGAGGAGGCTGAAATTCTCTTGTGAGAGATGGGCTTCCTTTGAAAAGTTTAGAGGAGTGCGTGATTAGATCATGCTGATTAGATGGTGGCAAGAAAAGGTAGGCAATTGTATTATCTTGGAGAGAAGAATGAGCTAGAGAAATGACACTTGGGTGGTAGAGAGGATATGGAATAAATGTTTGAGAAAATCATTTGGCTGGCATTGAATGTTTGAGTTGGGGAGTGAGGAAAAGGAAGAGAGAGAAAGAGATTTTAGTGTTTCTAGTTTGGCAGGCAGATGTTCAGAATAAAGGAAAGGAAGAGAAAGAGTGGATTTGGTAGATGGGGGAGGGGAGATCTTGAGACTGTGTGTGGTTATACATAGTTGAATTGTTAGTGTCTGGTGGAATTTTAGATGTCTCCAGCGGTCAATTGAATATCCAAGACAAACTCAGGAAAGCGCTGGGCTGGAGTTAGCAGATGTAGGAATCTCGGGCATTGATGGGCTTGTCCAAAGAGTACAAAGACTGAAGAGAGGAGAGGGTGGGAGATAGGCTCAGGCAAGGAGGCAACTTGATAGTCACAGCCTAGATGTCTTTTTCAGTTAATAAGAAGCTTAAGTTATTCAGTATATTGGAGACACCTTTGAGAGTTCCATTTTTGCTGTGTAGACGCTGGTATCCAGAAGAATATGAATTCGCACCAAAGAAGGCTGCTTCTCACAGGTAAGTTTTGCCTTCACTGCTTGACAATCTGACATGCCAGATGTCTGGCTGCATGACATAATGTCTCTTCTCTACTCCTTTTCCTTGGGGGAAAAGAAAGGACAACTCACATAAGAATAACTTCCTTTTGCTAAGACTAGCAAAAATTCTGGTCCGGTTTCTAGCATTCCATATATACATACATACATACATACATACATACATACATACATATATGGCTAAGTGACCGTCTGACCGGCCAGAACATATGATGCACACTGACACCGGGGGACAGATGCTCAACACAGGAAACTTGGTGGTAGCGGTCCTCACATGACGCACCCCAGAGCCAGAGAGGAGAGAGCTCTATTCCTCACGGGGCCATGCGATTCCACCTTTGGCCATGGGTTATGTTGAGAAAGGGTGAATTAAATATTTCTTCTAGTTAGTTTCCTTTCAATGTGCATGAATCTGTGCACCGGGCCACTAGTTCTGAGATATATAGGGTCTTATGTCATATATATATATATATATATACACACACACACACACACACACACACACACACACACGTTTTTATTGATTTCAGAGGGAAAGAGATAGAAACATTAATGATGAGAGAGAATCATTAATCGACTGCATCCTGCATGCCCGCCCCAAACTGAGGATTGAGTCTGCAAATTGGGCATGTGCCCTAACTGGGAATCGAACTGTGACCTCCTGGTTCATAGGTCGATGCCCAACCATTGTACCACACTGGCTAGGTGGGTCTTATGGCTTTATTGCAATTTTCAAACTTTAGATAACTTAGCATGTAGGTATGTGAAATTGTCTAACTTTTCCAGTAATAAGCAGTATTAAATTCCTTCCCAGCAAGACTATAAGCTTGTAGCCATTTAAAGTTAGAACACTTTGTATACCTACCTTTGACACTTTAGTTTTTCAGATTATTTCTTTTATGTTTGCAGCTTTAGGAACAAGTACATAGGAATCTAAAGATCTTATGTATTTAGTGTCCTCTTTTACTTTCTGATTTCTGTAATGTTTCAGGAGAAACATACAACTTGGTGGGGATTTAGCAGCTGGCTTCTAAGGGCAGCATTTGGTTCATCCGTCTACTGTGCTCCTACTCTGTGCCAGGAACAGTCAGAGGCAAACATAGAAAGACAAAGTCCCTGCTCTGAGGAGTTCTGGCATTCCTAGTTTTTTGTTTTCGTTTTCTTTAATTGGACTTGCATGGACTACAGCACAGTAGTAGATGGGAGAATATTTTATCTGAAATAATTTGGGACTTGATGTGTTTTGGGTTTCAGAATTTTTCACATTTTAGAGAGGTGATAGTATATCTGTAGTGATTATTATGTAACACTCCTGACAAGGTCTGGGGAAGCACCGCGTAATCACAAACATCGATACTTCTGCAGGGAAATGTGTGGGCATTCACATTGAAGGGCATTACTGCTGACTATGAGTAGCCTCACATCAAGATTGGTCAGGTTTTGCCACATCCTGGGTTATGAAAGTGCTTTGGGTTTTCAGATCTCTCTTGGGTTTCAGTGGATAGGATGTTGTGTACCTTGATTTAGCCAGAGGCTGTATTTTTAAAAATATATATTTTAAAAATGATCCCAGAGAGAAAAAAAAAGGGAGAGAGAGAGAAGCATAAAGGATGAGAGAATTATTGATCAGATGTCTCCTGCCAGTCCCATATACTGGGGATCGAGCCCACAACCCAGGCATGTGCCCTGATTGGGAATCAAACCATGACTCCTCATTAATAGGTTTGATGCTAAACCATTGAATCATGCCAGCCTTGAATCATGCCAGCCAGGCCAGAGGTTGTTTTTTTAAAATAGATTCAGCTCTCTACCATATATCTAAGACCTGGGAAGAAAGCAAAATTGTTGCCATACCACAGGAATAACTGAAGTTGGTGCAGTTTATTCTCTAGAAGGGACCCTTGGCCCGTCATGCTGAGCTTACTGTTTTATCTGCACACTGTTTTAATAATATTGGTACCTGATTTCTCAGACTATAACAAATGAGAAACAGCTGTTGGAGAAGGAGAAAGGCAGTTGGAGGCAGGCTGCCCTGAATGTAGCACAAACATCACGGAGAGGAGTAGGTCCTCTTTCATGGAGAGGTGGTTTCTGATGATTGATGTTTGTTGTGATGATTGAGTCATCAGTTATGATCCAGGATGTTACTGTGTTTTCTGCAGAGACGTCACTAAGTATTGCTCATTGTTTTCCAGACTGTTTCATGAGTTGTTAATTTATCTTCTTCTTTTAAATTATATTTTGTTATTGATTTCAGAGAGGAAGGGATAGGGAAAGAGAGAGAGAAATATCAATGATGGGAGAGAATCATTGATTGGCTGCTTCCTGTACTTGGCTGTGCCAGCAACCGTGACGTGCTCTGACCTGGAATCGAACTCTGACCTCCTAGTTCATATGATAATGCTCAACTTCTGAGTCATTCCAGCCAGCTGAGCTGTTAATTTTTCCACAGATGTGGTCGATTAAGTTTTAGAAATACTGTGTATATACAACCTTCTCTTGGCAGTTCTAAGTACACGTTAGTGCTTTAAATGCTTTGCAAAGGACTTCCAAAAGGAAATTTTTAATGTAGTTTTTCTTAAGCTTATTTGACCCTGGGATTCTTTTTTCTGTGGAAAATATCACCATTTTATGGAACTGTTTTTGGGAAACTAATGTCATATATTAGAATTTTTTTTAATCAAACATTTTTTAAAAAGTGCTTACACATGCTTTACTGAAATGTTCCAGTTTTTGTTTTTGTTTTTTTCTTGATTTTTAGGAAGAATGGAGAGAGAGCTAGAAATATCAGTGAGAGAGATACATCCATGGGCTGTGCGAGAGACACATCTATCGGCTGCCTCCTGCACGTCCCCTATTGGGGATCGAGCCTATAACCTGGGCATGTGCCTTGACCAGGAATCGAACCGGCAACCTTTCCATGCCCGGTCAACGCCCACCCAACCAACTGAGCCACGCCTGCCAGGGCAAAATGTTCTAGTTTTTGATGTCAGATAGTGGCCTGTTCTTAAGTTATTAATACAAGGTTGTGCTTTGTAAAGTGATCATTGTCTCTGATCTGGGGGCATTTCAATTCAGTATAGTATGTTTGCTCGTAGGGCACTTGATGACATTAGCGAAAGCATCAGAGAACTTCAGTTTTATCGAAATAACATCTTCAAGAAAAAAACAGATGAAAAGAAGAGGAAAATTATGGAAAATGGGGAGAACGAGAAGACTGTGAGTTGATGCCAGTGTTCGTGCTGCCACCACGGTTCTCTGGAGCGGCTGCTGGTGGTTTTGCTCACACGGAGGCTTGCAGAGCACCTCTCAGTTAACTCGCAGCTCCAGCGGTGCAAGCAGACAGCACCCGGAATACTACTTTCCTCCTAACATGCCGTTTTCCTTTATGGCACAGCCGCGCCTTTGTAAGTACCAGGTCTTGTCCACCCCTTGGTACAAATCTGCATTTGCTTTTAGGCCATTTCTTTCTTTCTTTCTTTCTTTTCTTTTCTTTTCTTTCTTTCTTTTTTTTTTTTTTTAAGAATAAACCTAGTTCTATTGAAATGCAAACTTTTGTGTACCATCTATTTTTTTAGTAGTGTAATCATTGAAAAGTGATGACCCTTTCTTTTTAACTGGTATGGCTAATGTTTTAAGTCCTCATAATGCCATTAGGGACAGATTAAGTTTCTTATGTGAAACTAGAAGGGAACTTGTTCTGTTTTGCTTTACCAGTCTCTAAAAGAAAACTTGAGATAAATTCAGAGAAGCACCTTGAGATAGATTCAGAGAAGCAGATTTAGGTTACAGTTATCAAATTAACAGAGACTTGGAATAGCTACTCTTCACTGTATTTAAGAAATTCCAGTAAGTAATCTGACAGTGATTCTCTAGATAATAACTCAGGTTTATGGAGTAGATACTATGTTCATGGCTATCATTCTGCCATATTTATAGAACGTAAATAGGTGGCTGCCTTGGGTCTGATGGTCAGTAAGTACTTGAGAAGGGATTTCATTTTGAGTATCTTAACTCCTAAGAGCATAGAACTAAAGTGACTCCTCAGCCAGAGTGTCCATTAGAATCGTAGAACACATCTCACTTCTCCTTAAGAAATGGAATTTGGGAAAGGTCCACGGATGACCTATCTTTCCTAGAGGACCATTGGCCTGGGAGACTTCAATAGAGATCTCCAGTTACATTCCAACCTGATGTTGGCCGCTGTGTGGGCGAACATAGCAGTGGGACCTACCGTGGGAGAGTGACAGACATGGAAATCGCTAGATGGCAGACCAGAATTCTCCCCCAGTTTCATTTGCTAAGCTGTTTTACTTACAGAGCAGCCTAAGGAGTGGAGAGAGATCTTAGTGTAACTTTTCCCAAGTGTAATTCAAGGCTCAGTTCACAAGTGTATGTGTGTGAATTTATGAAAACATGTCTGCGGACTTCTCTGACCACTTGCAGTGGCCTGGGCTTCAGCCCCTGTACCGACTTCAGTATTGTGGAAGGCAGGACCGTGTAATCGTTAAGAACCCGGCTCTGAGTCAGACTCTGCTCATACCGAGCTCTGTGACATGCAGAGTCACTTGGGCAAGTTCATTTTTCTGAGCCTCGGTTTTCTTGTCTGTACAACGAGAAGGAATTGTTAGAGGTAAATGAAATACTGCTCACAGTAGGGTAGTGCTGAGCTTGGTGCAGTGAGCACCCCCGGGAGCTAGCTCATGAATCATGATAACGGGAGGTCTCGGTCTAGGATCTCTGGGGAAAGGGCTGTGCTGGCTGGGGCGTTACCTCCGTCAGGGTTCCCTCGATGCCTGTGACTGTGATGCTGGGAACTGTTATGAACTTCAGTAACTGTGTCTGATTGGCTTAGTGCCTCATTAAAATTTGGCAGGATAGTCTTTGTCCTAGGTTGACTCCCAGGAATGCTATAAATTGTAACGTAAGAAAAGATGAAAACACGGGCTTGCGAAAGAGGGTCACAGGAAGCAGATACTTGCTGTTCATGCTGTAGGATTTCTCCCACGTAGCTGGCCTGTGTGTCATATTAACTGAGCCCTACCATTTAGTTTCCTTTCTTTCTTTTCTTTTTTTTAATCCTCACCTGAGGATACTTTTCCCATTGATTTCTTAGAGTGGAAGAAGGAGGGAGAGAGAAACATTGATGTGATCGATTGGTTGCCTCCTGCATTGGGCCCCGACTGGCCAACCGAGGCCAGGGATTGAAACTGCAACCCAGGTACGTGCTCTTGATTGGGAATCAAGCCTGCGACCTTTTGGTGTGTGAGTGATACTCTAACCACTGAGCAACACTGGCCAGGGCCCATTTAGTTTTCTTATGAGTTTTAATTCCCAGTGTTCCTTTTAAATCTTGTGTCACGTGAATGGCCAGCTGATTTTAAGTTCCTGTTTGGTATCTTCATTACCATGGCAGAATTCTCCGTTAACCCTATGGAGCATGTTGATTTTTAGTGAAATAATTGATGGCCTGTGATAGAAGGAAGTCTGGTCTGATGCAAGTCTGTGTGAAGACAAGATGGTTCAGTAGTTAGCTCATTATTTATTAGTTTGCTTACAAATATCCATTTGTAGTGCAGGCAACTATGATTTCACAGGGATTCCTGAAGCTACGAAGTAATTTCTGTGAAATGAACTGCATGCAAATTGGTTTAAATGTATCTGCAGCCTTAAAAATGTTCAGTGTTTGTTTAGCAGAGTTTGCTGATGCAGTGCCCCTGAGGGCTTTTCAGTCAGTGGTTCCTTCTGTCTGTGCTGTAATTATCCTGCAAGCTCTGTTCTTAGGGTCAGCAGGATGTTCCCCCTGCCTGCCCTTAGATGCTAAGTCTGCTGGGTTCCTCCAGTGTTCATGACTGCCTAGCCACTATACCGAGTGCCTGGCCAGGAAGGACCCCTTCCTTCAGTAGCTTAGCCATAGGAGATAGGAACGGAACATGAGACACTTGTGATTTTTTTTGTTTACCAAATAATATATTCCTTTATTAATAAACTAGCTGACAAATTCATGGGGGAATTTATAATTTCCTTTGGCAGAACTAGTGTTCTTGTGTTCTTATATGTATAAGTCTTAAAAAAAAAAAAAGAATAGCTTGTCATAGTGTTTAAATTCAATTTAGTCATTAAATAAAATTTGACACATTGGTTGCCTTGTGACAGACAATTCACGAGAGACCTAGGTACACTCCAGCAAGGACAGTAGCAAATGGGCTGTTGCTAGGGTAAGACATCTGAAGCAGATAAATGAGAATAAAAGCTATTATATTACTTTGTCTATTGATGAGGCAAAAGCTATTATGCTACCTCTTAATAATGTGTTTCTGTTGTTAAAATGAATTGATTTTAGTTATTTGAGCAAAGCTTTTAATTTTATGTGGGTCTTTGTAGTTTTTTTTTTATCTTTTGACTCTCTTTATGTGGCTCCTGATAAAACCATTGCCATGCTGGTAAAGAGTTCCTCCCTTGTTGAGTGTTTTCTATTGAATAGAGCAGTTTTCTATGAGGGTGGATCTTAAATCTTCTCACACACACACACACACACACACACACACACACACACCCCATACTAGAGTAACTTGGATAGGTTATTTAGCTTGATGGTGATTCCCCCCCCCCCCCCCCCCCCCCCCCCGCAGTGTGTACATTTACATAAAATCATTACGTTGTATACCTTAAACATATTTCTGTATGTCAAAGATATATCAATAAACATGTTAACATGTTTCAAACACTACTAACAAGAGAGTAAAATTTTTCGTTTTACTAGAAAGCAGGCAGATATAATAGTTGCTTTCATAATTGAGTTGTCAAGTTGAATGCATAGGATCCGAAGACTTGGTCTTCAGGATGATTTAATTCATTTAGTTTTGTGCGTGGGTTATAATACCACTGGTAATCTATGATACAGAAAACAAAAGTTTCTCATTAGGAAAAAGCCCTAGAGAATGGGAAGATTGGGAAGTGGGAAGCAAAAATATGTTCTTGTGCAAAAGAAAACATACCATGAACAGCCTACAGAACCCTTGGAGACCTAGAGTAAGTTGCATAATTTGAATTGCACAACAATGCGAACGCACTTAATACTACTGAACTGTATACTTAAACGTGGCAAAAATGGTACAGTTTATGTTATGTATATTTTACCACTAAAAAGGATACATAATTTGCTATGACCCATTTTCAGAATGATACGGTCTTAGGACCAGTATATATGGGAACCAGCTTGGGGCCCTGAACTCTGGGACCCTGGCTTATGCCCTTGGGAGGAAAAACCAAGGAATTTACAGCATTCCTAGAATTGTTTGATTCCCAATATCTAATAGAAGGAAGCGGCAATTTAGGGCACTGCTTTCTGCTGTGTCAGCTTAAAGCGATATAAGGAATTGCTGGTTTGGTCTAGAAAGGAAATTGAACAAATTAATATCCTTTGGGAGTATCTCATCTCCTTGTTTCTAAATGTAGCCATATGTATTGGGATGGAAATATTTTTGAATTCTGAGGGATACATCTTGGATAATCTACAGGCTCATGTAGAACTGCCCTGGAACCCAGCCCTATTTGTTTCTGCGAAAAAACTTACTCATTTTGCATTCCATCTCACCAGCTCACAACTTTATTGAACAATAGAATTCATTGTTGAATTGGACACTATATGGTTTTATACTTTCATTCATCTTGGTTGTGTGCTCTTCAAATTATTTTTCTTTTAAAAATGTTTTTGTTGATTTCAGAGAGGAGAAAGAAGAGGAAGAGAGAGATAGAAACATCAATGATGAGAGAGACTCATTGATTGGCTGCCTTCTATGTACTCGCTACAGGGATCGAGCCAAAACCTGGTTATGTTCCCGAGAATTGGACCTGGGATGGCCTCACCTCTGGCCAAGCTCACTCAGTTGACAGTCGTAGGGATGCCCCCTTGTAGGTAACTAACTGCTTTTCTCTTGCTGCTTTTAAGATTTCTTAGTCTTTAGCCCTTGGCATTTTAATTATGTGCCTTGGTGTGGTCCTCTTTGGATTCCTTTTGTTTGGAAGTCTTTGTGTTTCCTGAACTTGTAAGTCTATTTCTTTCACCAGGTGGGGGAAATTTTCTGTTATTATTTCTTCAAATAGGTTTTCAGTATCTTGTTCTCTCTCTCCTTCTGGCACCCCCATGATGCAAACATTGGTATGCTTGAAGTTGTCTCAGAGGCTCCTTACACTATCTTCATATTTCTGGATTTTTTTTCTCTCTC